GCTGTCCTGTCTCCCGGCTGTCACCTGCCAGGGAGATGCGGCTCCGCACCGGGGAGGTTCCCAGGCATCCCTGGAGCTCGGCCTGCCCTGAGCAGGGAGGCGGGTCGAGGGGGTATTCAGAGGTCACTTCCAGGCTCAGCCGTGCTGTGGTTTAATCGCCCTGAATTACTTCAGGCGTTAGCAATCGCCTCCTGTGTCCCCGGCGAGGCAGATGTAACCTCTCAGTAAGTTCAGCGTCCAGGTGAACTCGGTGTTTTAAAAAAGCATGTTTTCAAAGAACGGCTGCCCTGAGCAGGGAGGCGGGTCGAGGGGGTATTCAGAGGTCACTTCCAGGCTCAGCCGTGCTGTGGTTTAATCGCCCTGAATTACTTCAGGCGTTAGCAATCGCCTCCTGTGTCCCCGGCGAGGCAGATGTAACCTCTCAGTAAGTTCAGCGTCCAGGTGAACTCGGTGTTTTAAAAAAGCATGTTTTCAAAGAACGGGTAGCTGGAGCTTGAGCTCCGGCAGTCAGGGAGGTCGAGGGAGAGGAGGTTCGGGTCAGCGCTGAGCGGGTGAGAGTAGCTGTCAACATGGCGAGACCCTTTCAGGGCATGGAGGCAGTGATCCTGGTGCTGCTGCTTGAGCTGATGCCGTGTAAGAGCCCTGTTTGTTGTTGTCTCCTCAGACCGCACCAAGGCCGTGCCGCTCTCTTTTCTGCTTCCTTTGGACAGCTGTGGCTTGCAGCTTCAAGATGGAAGCGACGCTAACAGCTAGCCAGATCCGGCAGCGGTTTATTGACTTCTTCAAGGAGAACAAGCATACCTATGTGCACTCGTCTTCTACGATTCCCCTCGACGACCCCACGCTGCTCTTTGCCAATGCTGGTATGAATCAGGTAGGTTTCCCACTCTGGTACTGTGGTCCTTATGAACACGTACTATAGCAGTTGAAACCTGTGACGGTGCTTGCAGAGCTGTTTATGGGGGAAATTATCGTTGTTTTCTCCATCTTCCTTCTGGTTACAAGGAGGTGGTTGATGTGTCTGCTGGAGTCCCCTGTGCTCTGGCAAAATTGGCAAGAGCACGGGGAGAGGTTCCTGTGTCTGCTGGGCTGACTGGGCAGCGATGGGAGCACTGGCAGTCTGCCTTCCTTGACTGTTTGGACCAGAGCTAGCCCTGACACAAATTGCTAACAGCGTCTTTAAAGAGTGGTAGGGCTGGGCTGCGGAAAGGACTCTGCTGGAGATCAGTGCACAGTTTTCACTGATTTTTTTTTTCTAGTCAGCTGGGAATCTGGATACTTTGAGTCCCTTTGGAAGTCCTGGGGTTTGGTGGGCTACGGGAACACGTGCATGTGTGGGAGTGCCAAGTGACAGTCAGTGCTGCAGCCTCCTTGTGCGCAGGAGACAGCAGGCTTGTTGTTTCTGAAAGCTGCCTCCAGTACCTCCAGGCTAGTGGTACCATGACATAGCCAACACTTATTGCCTTGCTGTTGCTTTCAGCATTTAAAAGCAGGCTCTTGGTGCTTTTCTTGATTGCCCTTTTTTTCTTTCCTCTCAGTTTAAACCCATCTTCCTCAATACGATTGACCCCTCGCACCCGCTCGCTAAGCTGAGCAGAGCCACCAACACGCAGAAGTGCATCCGAGCAGGGGGCAAGCACAATGACCTCGATGACGTCGGGAAAGATGTCTACCACCACACCTTCTTCGAGATGTTGGGGTCCTGGTCATTTGGGGATTATTTCAAGGTAAAATAGGCTAGGTGCAGCTCTGAATCTCCTGCAGAAAGTTACCCATCTCTGTGAGCACAGAGGAGCATTTGCCAAGGAGAAGGAGAATATCTTGACACAGAGTGATTCCTAAGGTGTGTGTGGCTCCTTTGGAATAAATGAGCTTGGAAGCTGCCACAGCCCCGTAGAATGTTTCGAGATTAATTACTTAAGGTTTACAAAGCTGATTATAGTTACTGCCAGTTTGGAGTCTTCAGGCAGAGGTTTTAGTGGCTGTCGTGGAGCTGTGGGGGGTTGCGTGTGCTGTGCAACTACGATGGACCTCAAACAGGAGTGATTATAAAATAACAACATCCTTTCCCAAGCTTCTTGCCAGCGTAGTGTTCCTGTTTGCCAAGGTGATGTTAAGAGCACAGTGTAACAGCAGAATTCAGAGGCGTTTTTGGGGCAGTGAACAGGCTAGGAGTTAACTTGGCTGCATCTGGAAAGTCATATGAGATGTTTCTTATGCCCTGTTCACTGTAGGTACTGGTTTGCCTATTTCTTAGGCCAAAAGTCTGAAAGTTCTTGCCTGTTTCTTTGTAGAGAGCTGCCAGTACCTACAGTAGCCAGTATTCTGCACGTGCTGCGTGTTGAAGAGAAACTCAGTGTACATTCACTTGCTGACCTCGTCTTTTCTTCTGCAGGAACTGGCTTGTAAATTGGCACTGGACCTTCTCACCAAGGAGTTCGGCATCCCTGCTGAAAGACTCTACGTCACTTACTTTGGTGGAAATGAGGCTTCAGGACTGCAACCAGACCTGGAGTGCAAGCAGATATGGTTGAATTTGGGGTAAGGCCTTTAACTGAGGAAGGTGTGTGCTTTGATGAGCAATCGTCATTTACCTTTATTCAGAGAAAGGCGGTATGTGTTATGGGGCAGAGCACCTATGACGGCAGGTTTTAACAACACAAAAGTGTCACAAGTAATGTTTGCAGGGTAGGGGAGCTGCAAAGCCAAAAGGAAATGCCGGTATTAGAAAAGACTGAGAGCTTTCATTTCAAAATCTCTGGTGGAAGCTGAAGAACATAAGAGGTGCCCTGCTGGGTCAGATCAGTGTCTGGCCAGCCCAGCGCGCTTCCTCTGACAGCAGTTGAGAAGATGCTGTTCAGGGAAAGCAGGCACGCCTGACTGTGGCCTGCACGCTCTTTTCCTACTCCCCTCCCACCGTGCACAGTCATTCGATTAAGTGTGTTAGAGGGTCATCCGTGTGTTACCCTTAGCCTCTGCTTGGGCCCTGCTCCTTCAGAGTATGTCTGATTTTGTTTTGAACCTGTTGGGCTTTTGTAAATCTCGGTCATAGTCTCCCACCCAGCCTTGTCCTCTCCAAATTGAAGAGTCCTACTCTTATATACTCTCTTCTTAAGGCACCTGTTCCACCCCTAGGCAGTTGTTGCTGCCTTCTTCTATACCTTCGCTGCTTCTGCCTCACCCTCCTTGAGATGAGGAAGCAAGAACTACAGCTGACACACAAACTGTTGGTGGGCCAACTCTTGATGTAACGGTGAAGTGATGCCTTTGGTCTTGTGGCTGTAGTCCCCTCTGAAATCTGCCACCAGTCCTGTGATGCACCTCTGCGCTGTGGGGTCAAACCTGCTTCACGTGTGTTAAAGTCAGAGATCCGCCTGTCTTCTTGCTGGTGGCTTCGCTGAGGTGTTGCGTAGGTCTCTACCTCTACCTGGATCCCGTGCCAGGCGCTGATGCTTGGCTGATCCTCCTCAGCAGGGAACCTGGGTGGTAGGATCTTGTATTGGCCTGGCTCTGGACCCTGGCCGTTCCTCTGCTCATCCAGGGAATTAGTGGGTGGAGATTTCTCTGGTGTAGTCCTTGGTTGGGGGAATTCTTGCCTTGCCAGAAGTCTCTGTTGTTCAGCAAGAGTTTCTTGTCACAGGCTGGCTGAGGGCAGGATTCTGCCTGGCAGTATGAAGGACAACTTCTGGGAAATGGGAGACACAGGCCCCTGTGGCCCTTGCAGCGAGATCCACTATGACCGGATCGGGGACAGAGATGCTTCCCACCTGGTCAATCAGGATGACCCCAACGTCCTGGAGATCTGGAACCTGGTGTTCATACAGTTCAACAGGTGAGTGAGACCCGCTTCCCTCCCCGGGCTGCTCCAGCTCGGCGTGGGAGGCTGCTTGGGCTGCGCGCTGTTTTACAGCCCCTGGCTTGCTCGCCATTCACTCTTGTCCAGGGGCTGTGTGCTTTGTGATCCTCTGTCCCCTGATCCACCGATACAGAAGAGGTCGGTCACACTGGCTTTGGGGACAGACTGGAAGTATTTTCTCAGGTTGTCTTCCAGGGGATCAGTAGGGATTAAGTGCCATCCTGCTCTGGGTCGAAGTTGTCATTGAGGGTTTTGTTTAATTATATTTTATCAAAGTTATCCTTTGTGCGGCTTGTGTATGGGCCCATGCCCTAAATCTGATGGAACAACATCTCCTGGGGATGAGGAGGGTGATGGGCTTGCCCTGGAGAGTCTCTGTTCGTAACAGCTCATGTTTCTTTTTGTGGCTGGGCAGGGAAGCTGATGGGACACTGAAACCTCTTCCTAAGAAAAGTATTGATACTGGGATGGGCCTGGAGAGGCTGGTCTCTGTGCTGCAGAACAAGATGTCCAACTATGACACCGACCTCTTCCTTCCTTACTTCGAAGCCATCCAGAAGGTATGAACTGGCGAGTCTGGGTCTGGGCCTGACCCAGCTGCGTCCGTTCCCGGGATACCTGGGGAGATGCGTGCGGCTGGTCAGGCAGGGCGGTTTTGTCTAGAGGTCTCTGCTTTCCCAGCTGCTGCGAGCCTGTGGGTTTGTCCTTTGCTGAGGGTGGGAAGGCAGGCTGGCACAGTAATTTCTGCCTTGGGGCGCGTTTCCAGGGGAAAACATGGGACAACGGGCCGTGCAGCTTTCCCTGGTGTTTCTGTGGCCTGTCCTGATGGCGCGCTCCTTGGCCCTCTCCACGTTGGAGATGGTCTGCAGTCCCATATGGCAAGTGCCATCTTTTTGCTGTGTGGTAGAGAGCACGTGGTGCTGCTGACCCAAAATCAGTTTGTCCTTCAGTCTCCCACCTGGAACATGCTGATCTGTAGAAAATTCCCTGAGAGAGAAGGTCTTTGCCATAAACCGTGACAGTTACTTGCAGAACCAGTGTGCTGTCACTGCATCTTCCTGGCTGGGGGCCATGTTACCAGTGCTGGGAACTCTGTGCGCAAGTCCGAGGCTTGCTTTTTTGCTCTGTGGAAACAGCAGAGCTTGCTGGCTGCAGATCGTGCTGGAAGAAATACAGGGAGAAGAGCCCAGGCTCAGGCCTCTCAGGGGATGAGGTGCAGAGCTCCAGGGCTGGAATTAGGGGGCTGCCTTTCTTCGATGTGAAAGCCGCTGGCTAGACACAGCCCCACGTGTCCTTATCTGCCTTCCTGCAGTGTGCTGGGAGCCTGGCTGCAGGGGCTGTGCCCGTGGTGTGACGACTGCTTTGTTACAGCAGTATCTTTCCCTCGGGTACAGATAAGAACACCCTAAAAGAGGGAAGCTGGGACTGTCTCCCAGGTGACAGAATTTTAGAAGTTTCTTGGCTGGGAAGGTTATACCAGGCTGCAGTCCTTGAGCCAATGTGCAAAACAGATGATTTCCCTGCACTCTGTCCCTCTCTCTTCCTTGCTGGGCTCTTAATGTTGAGATGAAGTGGCTTTTCCTCCCTGGGGCTTTGGAGATCCTTTGGGTCTGGAAATGCAGGCCGTGGCACCATGCACTGCCTTGCAGCTTTCTGTCTTCCCTGGCTTCACCGAGTCACCTCTTTCCTGGAGAAGTGTGCCACCTCTGTGGCTGTGGGCAGTGGGACGGGGCTGGCTTCTGAGGTACTTCCCGATTGTCCTTCAGTGTTGCTTGTCCCTGCTGTCTGGAATTGTCCGCTTTGCTCACCACCTTCTCCTCTCTGTGCAGGGCACGGGTGCCAGGCCGTACATGGGGCAGGTTGGTGCTGAGGATGCTGATGGTACAGACATGGCCTACCGCGTGCTGGCTGACCACGCGCGGACCATCACGCTGGCCCTTTCTGACGGGGGCAGACCTGACAACACTGGCAGAGGGTAAGAAGGGAGCTGCCGCAATGCTGCCACTCCCATTCTGTTCAGCACAGCTTCCCTGAGGGGGCTGGCGTCTCTGGGATGCCTCTGAATTGGTCGTTAAAGCAGTGGATAGCAGAGTGCTTGATCAGTGTATTTCACAGAATCACAGAATAGTAGGGGTTGGAAGGGACCTCTCTGGGTCATCTAGTCCAACCCTCCTGTTGAAGCAGGGTCCCTTACAGTAGGCTGTAGAGGACCTTGTCCGGGTGTATTGGACGCTTGAATCCCTGTAGCAAGGTCCACCCAAAAGACCAAGACACACAGGTCTCATGAGTACCAGGTCTGCTGTGTCAGCCCTCAGAAAGGATCACTATGGGCAGACAGGCACAAAACCCTGCTTGGTGAAGTGCTGCTGTCAAAAAAACAACGACGTTTGGGCTGGGGAGGTGTGCTGTGGGTGCCACTGGACTCGCAAGACTAACTCTTAAGCACACAGTGAGTCTGGGTGATGGAGCTGGGGCCTGGCACCTCACCTCTGGCTTGCTGCTGCTGTGAGCAGCTACTTGAGAGAAAATGTGGGGAGAGAACCCTGTGCTCTTGGTCCTGGGAGGAAGCGCTGATGGGTAGATGCTGATGGATCCCTGGGAACAGCTCAGAGGTGTAATGGTTGCATGAGGGGCTCTGCTATTCCCTAGGTATGTGCTGAGGCGGATTCTCCGACGAGCTGTGCGCTACTCCCACGAGAAGCTAAATGCTCCCAAGGGTTTCTTTGCTACTCTGGTTGATGTGGTGGTGCAGTCACTGGTAAGTTCTTCCTCCACTCCGCTGCATCTGCTGAAGACTTCGTCTGCTGAGGTGTGCAGATCTCCATGCAGAAGGACTAATCCTCTTGGGTCTGCAGGGAGATGCCTTTCCTGAGCTGAAGAAGGACCCGGATGTGGTGAAGGACATTATCAATGAAGAAGAGGATCAGTTTCTGAAAACACTCAGCAGAGGACGTCGCATCCTGGACAGAAAGATCCAGAGCCTGGGAGACAGTAAAACCATCCCTGGTAAGGCTGTGTCTTCTGTCTGGATGCACCAAAAGGTATTTAACATCTGGGACCGAGGTAGGGCTCAGCTGGACTGGGAGCTGGGAGATTGTGGAAGGTGTGGCGGGACCAAGTTGGAGTCAAAAAACCATTGCTCAGAGCTGGGCCACCCCTCTCTCCTCTGCCCTGTGTTCACTTGCTCGGGTTTCTAAGCTTCCCAGACACAACACGGTAATGTGATCACTGTGCTGTCGGAGAGGAGCCTTTTTAATCACAGAATCCCAGCATGGTAGGGGTTGGGAGGGACCTCTGTGAGTCATCTAGTCCAACCCCCTGCCGAAGCAGGGTCACCTACAGCAGGCTGCACAGGACCGCGTCCAGGCGGGGCTTTAAAATCTCCCGCGAAGGGGCACAACCTCCCTGGGCAGCCTGTGCCAGGGCTCCATCACCCTCAGAGGGAAGAAATTCTTCCTCCTGTTCAGCTGGAACTTCCTCTGCTTCAGTTTGTGCCCATTGCCCCTTGTCCTGTCGCTGGGCACCATCGAAAAGAGTCTGGCCCCATCCTCCTGACACCCACCCTTCAGATATTTGTAGGCATTTCTAAGGTCCCCTCTCAGCCTTCTCTTCTCCAAGCTGCACAAGCCCAGCTCCCTTAGTCTTTCCTCATAGGAGAGATGCTCCAGTCCCCTCATCATCTGTGCGTAATCATCTTAATGTTTGTGTTCAGCAGACGTGTTCCCTGTCCTGCCGTAGCGCCGAGCCACTTTTGTGGGACGGAGCCAGTCGCAGAGCAGGGAAAGGAGCGGCATCTCACGGTACGGGAGTGCCGACTGCTCTGCTTTTTCTCTAAAGGTGATACTGCCTGGCTGCTGTATGACACCTACGGTTTTCCTGCGGATCTCACTGGGCTGATCGCAGAGGAGAAGGGCCTTGTTGTGGACATGGAGGGCTTTGAAGAAGAGCGGAAAAATGCACAGGTAGGTCACAGCTCCAGGCGTAGCTGATTGGAGAGTGGGCGGTGAGGATTCCCATCCCTGTAGTTTGCAGTCATGACTCTGGTCCATTCCTACTGGGTCTGCTCACACCCCGCGTGCCCCAGTGCCCTGTGGGAAAGACCAGGGCACGGCACCACAGTTGTTACAGGACATGTCTTTCTGTGCAGCTGGGACTGTTTTTTCTCACTGTGAGGCCTGGGGCCTTGAGCTCAGCCCTCACACAGAGTATCTGGAGTGCTGGGAGAACCTCCCCACCGTCCTGTTCTGGGTAGGGAAGTTCGAGACTTCCCTGTCTGAGGAGCAGTGTCCAGGGAGGCTTGCAGCTTGGATGCCTCTCCTAGCACGCTTGCTGCGGCAGCAGAGTGGCGTCGAGCAGGTGGCCAAGGACTTGCCATGCCCTTGCTGGGCTCAGCCCGTTTTGGCTGTATGCTGGCACAGCCTGCTCCAGCTGCTGGGACGCGGCTTCCCAGAGCAAAACTCTGAAGCTCTCAGAGATGCGAGTGAGGTGTGCACTGAAGCTGGTGTGCACGGGGCTGGTGCTGCAGTGGGTATTCTCAAACTTTGGTGCTTGTCATTGGCAGCTCAAATCCCAAGGGAAGGGTGCCGGAGGGGAGGACCTCCTCATGCTGGACATCTATGCCATCGAAGAGCTGAGGGCCCAAGGGCTGGAGGTGACCGACGACTCGCCAAAATACAACTATGCTTCAGATCAGAGTGGTGCCTATGGTATGAAAAAACCTTCTTGAAATCATCCTCTTCTGCCAAACCTGTCCTGGCGTCTACCTCGACAGGATCGCCTCTGGGCTCCCCTTTCCTGGGACATGGAGGCGGGAGTGGAAAAGTGTGCGGGTGAATGGCCTGCTTGTAACAAATCGAGCAGGGAAAGAGAAGGGCAAGCTTTTTCTAGGGCTGCTGTGCTCCTCAAGTCTGTTGTTGCCAGCGTAAGGGAATTCCTGTTCCCTGCAGCTCTGCGTCTCTACAATCCTATGTTTGTGTTTCCTAGCTGCTCCTTTGCCAGTGCCGTGGGAGACTGCGGTCTCTGCTTGGTCCGTTAGAGGGTCCTTGGACAGCTTGTTCTGGCTCTTGCTGCTAATTCTTCAATTTGTTGGAGACTAGGGAGGTCCGAGGCTCGTAGCAGTGTGCATGGCTGGCTTTCACCACAGAGGTGTGGAAGGAAGTGACAGTGTGTGCCTTGGAGAGCCCTGAATGAAACTCCCTCTTACCCAGCTGACTCTTGCCCTAGCTGTTTCTCCTTACCCCCGGCAAATGTAGCTGCCGTCAGCTCCTGCAATAGCTGGGAGGTGTTGCTATGAAGTTCTGCTCCCATCTGGTGCCTACAAGGTTTTCCTGTTTTACTGACACTGCCTGTCGTCCTGGTGACAGATTTTGGGAGCCTCGTGGCCACGGTGAAAGCCATCCGCAGGGAGAAGAGGTTTGTGGAGGAAGTATCCACTGGCCAGGAGTGTGGGATAGTGCTGGACCGGACCTGCTTCTACGCCGAGCAGGGTGGGCAGATCTATGACGAGGGCTACATGGTCAAGGACGACGACGGCAGGGAGGATGTGAGTGGGCCTGAGAGCCTTTCGCTAGACTCAGCTGGACGCAGGGCCTGGGCAGGTGTGTGCAGAGAAGAAGGGGCCAAGCAAGCTCCAGCAATTCCCTGTCCATGTCCAAGGTTCCCTTTGGCCATGCAGCATGGCACGGATGTGCTGGGGTTTGTTCCCCTTGCTTCTTGGGGAGCTGAACTCGGTGCTGCAGCGCCAGGCTGTTGCCAGAACGCGGGTACCTGCGTTGGTGGTACTGGGGTTGCGATGCGGGAGGACAGCGTTCTCCAGCCGTGGCGGGGAGCTGAGGTGGGGAGCGCTCCCAGCTCTGCTCTGCCCTGTAACCATGCCCCACCTTCATTCTCTTCTCTGCTTTGTGGCCTTGTGTGCTATGCCTGGGGATGCTCAGCTTTCTCCGGCTGCACACACCAGTCTGGCTCTCAGCTGAGGCCTTTCCAGTTGCAGCTCAGACCTCTGGCTGGACTGCCTCCCCTTGGCCTCTTGCCCTGCTCACTAGGTGCGTTTCCCTCTTTGTACAGAAAACAGAATTCACGGTGAAGAACGTGCAGGTCCGAGGAGGCTACGTGCTTCACATAGGAACTCTCTATGGAAGCTTGAAAGTAGGAGATCAGGTCCACCTGTCTATCGATGAGGTAAGACATGGTATAACACATGGCCTCGTTTCTTGTCCTTGGCTTTCGTCTCCTTTATTCTCATCGGTGCCACTCGGGGTGTCTGGAGTTTGGAGCCTGGTTTCCCTGCGGCACGCAGTGCGGGCAAGCAGTGTTGGCCCTTCCAGTCTGGCTGACTCGAGGCCTCTGCTGCCTGGTGCCTGGCTTTCTTCTGCCACGAGGCAGAGAACGCCCAGCTGGCTCAGAGCCACGCTCACTGGGTTCTGCTGACCAGCAACAGAACCATGTTTTGGGTCGCTGCTGGGAGGTGGAGCGGGTCTGGTACTCCGCTGCGTTGTGGATGACAGCGGAGAGCCTGGGCTGTCTGCCCTGCTCCAGACATCGCTCCCGTGGGCTCAGCCTGCTCAGCGAGTGCTGGGCTGAACCTAGTCTGCAAGATGCATTTCCCTTCCCTGTGGAGGCAATACCTGTGGAGCGAGAGGGAAGGCTGCCGTCTTGCAGTGCTTTTCGCTGCCAAGTGTCTGTGATCTGGTCTGTCCTCCACCTTCCTTCAGACAGGCCCAGCAAGGGGACTGCCAGGGAAAAGCCGTGCACAAATTTGGTGGGGAATGTCCTGCTCCCTTGGCTGAGGCTCCAAGGCAGCAAATGCGACAAGTTGTTTCTGGTCTTCTGAGCTAGTTTAGATTTCTGTTGGAGCAGCATGTTAATCTCCACTTCTGCTGTTAGAGGTGACCTTGGCTCCGCAGTGCGGGACCCCGTCTAACAGTGGCTTCTTCCATCAGGCCAGGCGGAGACCAGTCATGAGCAACCACACGGCCACCCACATCCTCAACTTTGCCCTGCGCTCCGTGCTGGGGGAGGCTGACCAGAGAGGGTCACTGGTTGCACCGGACAGGCTGCGGTTCGACTTCACAGCCAAGGGAGCCTTGTCTACCCAGGAGATCAAGGAAGTCGAAGGGATCACCAACCAGATGATTGAGGAGGCAAAGGTGGGTACGACTGCCAGGTTGGATATACTTGGAGGGGAGGGAAGAAGGTACCTTGAGTCAAGTTTTGATGATCTGGGGAGCTGGATGTTTGGCCCATCAGGAGTCTTCTGAGCTGCTTATGCGGTGCTGTGCACAGATGGTCATCACCTCGGAGGATTTTGAGTGGGAGCACTCCGTGTAGACTGCTCTGTTTGTTGGTACCGAGCCGTCTCTAGGGTCGGAGTGGTCCCCTGCCTGCTCTGGTGTCACGCTAGCTACAAGAGCCAGGAAGTCTGGCAGAGCAGGCCTGGTTGGGTTTACACTGTAAACCCAGAAGCCCCAGTGATGTGTCTGCAATGGCAAGAGGGTTGAGGTGTCTGGTGCCAGCCCTGTGTCAAAAACAGACCCTGGGAGGGCCCTGTGCTCTGCCCAGGAGTATGTGGTTAGCAGTGAATGTACAGGAGCACAGGGTTTCCAAGCAGACACCGGTGTTGGGGATTTTGAAGATGGGGTGTCTGTCAGTGACTTTGGGATCCCTGCAGCTCAAACCCACGCTCAGGTGAGGCATGTAATTCCCTTGCAAGATCTTTTGGAGGAAGTCCGGACTCCCTGGGAGTGCAGGCTCTCGGTCACAGCTCTTACCTGTGTGCCTTTCCTGTCCTCCGCAGACTGTGTACGCCAAGGACTGCCCTCTCGCCGCAGCCAAAGCTATCCAAGGGCTGCGGGCAGTTTTTGATGAGACCTACCCGGATCCTGTCCGTGTGGTCTCGATTGGCATCCCCGTGGAGGAGCTGCTGGCTGACCCCTCTGGCCCCGCAGGCTCTGTCACTTCTGTTGAGTTCTGCGGAGGGACGTGAGTATCTGAAGAGGCCGGGGAAGGCGGTGGGGTGGCTGAAAAGGAGTCCCTGGGGAGCTCGAGCTCCCGAGGGCTGTCAAATGCCGTGGGCGTCTGCTGGGCACAGCCAGGGCAGAGTTGGAGGTGGTGATGATGATGTGCTTTGTGTTCCCGGTGCTGAGTCAGGCCGCGTTTCACATCAGCCTTTGCAGGCGGGGAAATTGCCTGTATGCTGCCCCTGCCCACACGCGTGGGCTCTGACAGTGCTGGGAACATGGCCCTTGCCACCCTTTCCTTGCTCATTTGCTTTTAGCAGCTAGGCTGGGTTTTCTGCCTGTCCCCACGCTCGCTGCATCTCCCTGGCAGGATGGTTTTCTTGTTTCTGTAATGCTGAGATGCGAGGTCAACTTCTAACTCTCTCTTCTTGTGGGTCTTTCTGGGTTCTTTCCAAAGGCACTTGCAGAACTCCAGCCATGCTGGCCCCTTTGTGATTGTTTCGGAAGAAGCAATTGCTAAAGGCATCCGGAGGATAGTTGCAGTCACTGGGGCCGAAGCTCGGAAGGTAAGGGGAGGTGGGAGAGATCCTCTGTGATATCCCACGTATTAACCCTGTGCCGATGTTCCTTTCTTTCAAGTTTGCCCATTATCCCTGTTGGGATACTCAGCACCAGGCAGAACTGGCGCGAGTCTCTGAGGGTCTCGTGGAGAAGGATGCTGCTGTCGGTGAAGCAGTGCTAGAGACCCCTGGCTGTGCTGCAGCCAGAGGAGAGAGCTGGGCGGGAGAGAGAGTTGTGAAATCTGAGAATGCAGAATGCTGCTGTGGGAGACGGGTGGCTTTGGTCCTGGGCTAGCCTGTGCTGGTGCTTCCTGGAGTGGGAGAAGGGGCTTGGTGGGAGATGGTTTTCTTGTTTTGGAGGATTTTGGCATTCCTTCTGGCAAAGAGGAGTGCTGAGGCCTGTCTGCCGGTGTCACACCCTGGTTCTGGTCAAGTGCTGCCTACTTTGGCTCTGCTGCTTCCCAAGGAGCTGCTGAACTCCGTGCCTGGGGCCACCGCGTTCCTCACCCATGCTCACGGGGATGGTGGCCAAGAGCCCAGCCTGCTAAATCTCCGTGTCGCTTAACTGGGGTTGTCTTCTGCTAGGCCCTCAGGAAAGTCGGCAGCCTCAGGAAACTGCTGTCAGCCCTGGAGGCCAAGGTGAAGGTTCAGACGGCTCCCAACAAGGATGTGCAGAAGGAAATCGCAGATCTCAGCGAGGTGAGGATGATAGCAGTGCTCCGCCTCCCCAGGGTGAATGGGACCTTGATTGCCAGCGCTGGGTGGTTTTAATGAGGCCCAAGGTCAGCGTCCGGCTCCTGTCCGAACAGCCCTGGGTCCTGTGGGTGCTGCGGCCAGCACCTCGTGCCGAGACTCTCTGGCAATGGGAGGCGAGGGGAAGCTTGCTGGGCTCTGCCAGTTGAGGCAGGTGAGGTTTGTGAGTGTGGTGCAGCACCTCCTGCATCCCGCCGTGGTCACCAGTGGCTCTGACCCTCTCCACCCGCTCCTCTTTTGCAGACACTGGCCACTGCTGTTATCCCACAGTGGCAGAAGGATGAACTGAGAGAGGCCGTTAAAGCACTGAAGAAAGTTATGGATGACCTGGACCGAGCAAGCAAAGCCGACATCCAGAAACGAGTGAGCCCTGGGTGGGAATAAAGGACAATGTGGGAGGGCTGGGGGGGGGCTCTGCTTGTGTCCAGCGTGGGAGGGAGCTGAGCTGTGGGGCTGCCCCTCGCTCTGTTCGACCTTCCAGCCTCTCCTGCTCCCTCCCTGAGCCTTGGTGTCTGCCCTGCAGCCTTTGGTTCCTGGCATGGATGCGCTCTGTGCCAAGGTGTGTCCCTCCCAGGGCATGACTACCTGCACGCCTGTTCCCTGGGTGAAGCGCTAGCAGCACATCTTGGAAGTCTAGTGGTTCTTCTACCCTTGGTAGTTCTAGCTGCTTCCTCCTGTATCCCGTTGAGTTTTCCTGGAGGAGGAATCACACACAGCACCGCTGCTGCCTTGCAGGCCACGCAGCCGCCTGCCAACACGTTCTGTTCCTGGCTCCGCAGTGTGAAGCTGCTCCAGGCTGGGCTCTGGGTGTGGTGGGGCACCTTGGGGGCCTCTGTACCTGCAGGCAAGCTCTTGTCCGGGTGGTTCTTGTGTCCATACGCGATGTGTGTGCTCTATCATCTGACCACTGCTGTCCTCAGGTGCTGGAGAAGACCAAGCAAGTCATTGAGAGTCACCCTAACCAGCCATTGGTCATCATGGAAATGGAAAATGGAGCCTCAGCAAAGGTATGGGAAGGTCTGGTCCCTCCTCAGCAACCTTCCTTGTGGCTGAGGAGCAGCTGGGTGGTCCCTGGTCACTTGGGCAGGCAGCGCTGTGTTTCAGAGCCATTTCTCTTGCCAGCAGCCAGCCCTGAGCAGTGGCTAGCGAGGAGGGGGAGGGCCGCTGGGATACTCTCTGCATCCCACAACCTGGACTAACGCATGGGTGTGCAGGTGATGGCAGGGTATTGACTGTTTGCTGAGCTTCCAGACCTGGTGGGAGGTAGGGACCCCAATAGAAACTGGTAAGACTCGTCCAGCAGCAGTCACGATGCTAAAATGCAGTCTGAAGGAGCCCTGAATGGAAGCTCTGCGGAGCCAGGGAAGCCGTGATGCTGGTGGCCATTGTGGATCAGCTCTGGGAGCGATGTCCTGGGCTGAGAGCAGTGCCTGCTGCCGCCAGGTTCAGGTTCTCTGGCCAGGGCTGAAACTGCTCCTTCCCTCCTCCACGCACAAGCAGAGTTCCTTTCTGAGCGATTTCTGTTGGGAATAAAAGCTCCCCTGTGTGTGCCGTGCTGCAGTGCTGAGCCCAGCAACTGCCAGGCGGCGGGGGCTGATGGTGCTGTGAGGTTGGACCGCTCCGATTTTAATGCCACATTTAAATTTCCGCTCTGGCAATCTCAGTGAGGATCCTGCTTACGGATGCCTGCTCGCTCTCCGTGGCCGTCCCCGTCTCCGTGCTGCCAACACAGAGTGCGTCCCGGGGGACGGCGTTGCCGGCAGCATGGGAGCTGTGTGTTGCCTATGCGACCGGAGCAGCAGCGCTTTGCTCGCTGCTCCCGCAGCGCTGTGCTGCATCGTGCCGTCTCTGGGAGCGAAGGGGGACGGTCTCCTTGGGAACAGCGGGGAGCCTGGCAGTTCCTCCAGGGTCTGACAACCCTCGCAGCTTCTTCACACTGCAGCTGAGTCCTCCCGACTCGCTGCGCCACGGCTGCTCCCTGCTGGAGCTCACATTTTCCCCTCCGGCCAGTACAAAGGGTTGCTTTGGGGCTGATTCTGCCAGTTCCCAGATAACTGAAGGTGAGGCAATAAAAGCGGCTCCTCACTCCTGCTTGCTTGCAGCTGTGACACAGCTAGGGCTGGTGTCCCCTGCACGGCTTCCGCGCTGCCGGGAAGGCGAAGACTGCTCTCGTATTTGGGAGGGGCAGCTCTGCTGGGTGGTTTGATGCAAGTCTGGAGCCCTGAGGTCTCTGGGGGTGCAGCAGGGGCTTGAGCCGGGGGCAGTTAAGCTGCAGTGGTTTTATCCTCCCACAGGCCCTGAATGAATCTCTGAAGCTCTTCAAGACCCACTCACCCCAGACTGCTGCCATGCTCTTTGCCGTAGATAACGAAGCCGGCAGAATCACCTGCCTGTGTCAGGTACCCCAGGTAAGGCTGAGATCCAGGTAAGACTCCTCCAGCAGCAGTCACGACGCCAAAACACAGGAGTAAGGAGCCCTGCACGGTGCTCTGAGCCTTGGCGGGGGATCCGCAGCCCCCAGGCAGCGACTGGCTAACGCTGCCATGCCAAAACTTGTTTGGGTCGGCGCGAGCTGTGCGCCTTGTGCTTTTGGTGATCCGAGGGGTGCGGGAGGGGTTGTGCTTTGCCAGTGGGCATGGGCCAGGGCTGGATGCGGTCGTGGGCATGGTGGTGCAGGCATGACTGCTGGCCACGGGAACAAGTCTGGTGTGGAGCGGGTGAGGGAGCTGGGGTTGTTCAGTCTGGAGAAGAGGAGGCTGAGGGGGGACCTTATCGCTCTCTACGACTACCTGAGAGGAGGATGTAGAGAGGTGGAGGTTGGTCTGTTCTCCTAAGTAACCAGCGATAGGATGAGGGGAAATGGCCTCAAGCTGCGTCAGGGGAGATTTAGATTGGAGATGAGGAAAAATGTCTTTCCTGGAAGAGTGGTCAGGCACTGGCCCAGGCTGCCCAGGGCAGTGGTGGAGTCCCCATCCCTGGAGGGGTTCAGAAAACGTGTGGATGTGGCACTTCGGGACACGGTTTAGCAGGCGTGGTGGGGTTGGGGTGGATGGTTGGACTCGATGATCTTAGAGGTCTTTTCCAACCTCAATGATTTTGTGATTCTGGGTGTGGTGCCATGGGCTGCTGCCCCTACTCTTTCTCAGCTGGTGGACCTGGAAGAGCTTTGTCCTGTTCTACTGTGCTTGTGGCTGTTGAACCTCCCGCTTTTTTCCCCTTTCCCCCCCCAGGAGACTGCAGCCAAGGGCCTGAAGGCCAGCCAGTGGGTGCAGGAGGTGGCCGGCCTGATGGAC